TTGGGTAAATAGATGGAATACCCTTAGGAAATTTTAGGACTATAGGCTAATCTGGGAAGAAAAACAAAAATTCTGAAAAGAAGATAGTTGCAAATAATTTCTATCTCATTGCCAAGAAAACTAAAGCTGTAAATTGAACTTGACTTAAGGGAGAGTTTAATAACTGATGTAATTGCCAATGCAATGGCAGGAAATTTGGACGACTCTCTAAAACAGTTTGAGGTTTTCTACTGGCTGTCAATTAACAATTTCACCTCATACTAATCTGTTTCCTTTGACTTCCAACTGGGAGAAGAGATGTCACAGCCAATCAAAGTAGGAGAATGCTTTAATCAGAAAACAAATGGCACTTTTAAAGATAAATTTTAAAGAAATTTGGGATTTCTGAATCTAGAGGAAGATAAGGGAGTCACTGCTAGTGTTAATTAAACAAAAGGACTACCAAGGCCAAGGATTAAGAATTGATGAGATAACCCCCATATCTTGAAAGAATTATCTTCAAATTACAGTAATGAGATTGATAGACTTCTGGGCATCCGTGTTTCATTTTCAGGCATCTCTCCACAGCCAAAGTCTACAGGAAGTTAAAACAGTTCCTTTTCAACAAAATCTAAAAAAAAAAAGCAACATTGTACATTTTAAACAAAATAACCATGTGAAATGAGTACTTGGATGATGACAATTCATCTAGCCCTCTCTGTGCATATTTTATGCCAGGTTATTTTTGAAATACCTCAGGTATTTCATTTTGTATTTCTGAAAACAATGTTCAATCTTGAATGAAATTATCTTTTGGCCTTTGTTTATTATATACAATGCTGTTTTCCCATGAATTAGTGGAAGAAAATGGTACGTATTGGTAAAGTGGCTTGAAAAAATGCATGTGTCATGGAAAACGTTTACATCATTTTATAGCTAGAAAAATGCCTATGGATTTTTAAGTTGCTTAAAGTGCTGAGGAAATCAGATGGGACTTGAACAAATGCTAATAATATGGTGAGTAAATCAGACTGACTCTTCCATCCTTAGGCAGTTTGACTGGTAACTACATAAACAGGTTGGGATGCAAACAAGACGATGTGTAACATTGATACATTTCCTGGCCAGTAATTTGTTTTTTCTTTTTCATCTTTTCTGCATCCAATCCATTCTTTTTATGGAATGAGTCCTTGAATCATCCCTGTGAGTAGTCTTCATAAAGATGGATATTCAGATGAATAACTTCATCTGTGTTAGGAAATCTATACAGAAGTTTCTTGTATACAGTATCTATTTCCTTAATCTCAAGAATAGTAGCTTTAGAGAATGTACCAACCAATGTATACCAATAAAAAAGTTAACCATACCACCAATTTACTTCTGAACAGAGGTGTTTTTGGGGGGTGGGGGGTGGGGCACTTTAGTTGGGAAGACATATAAACCATACAAGACACTGACATGCTGGAACATATCCCAAAATCACATCTTGTTTTATATGAAGTAAAGAATTAGCTTAAGGTTAGTTTTCTGCCCTTCAATATGAAAAAGAAGTATCTACTCAAAATATAACATGTGAGAGGTGGCAGCTTAATATTAGAAAGGAAATGACAAGTGTAATTTGGAACTGAGTCCACTCTGCAGAACCAGCACCTGTTATTTCAAAGTCCCATGTTGCACAATCCAGTTTGGGATTATTCAGAATTAACCCCACTGAATTTACTCCATGCTAAGTGTTTATAAGATGCTATCTCTTCTAAATAGTTGCCAGGAACACTTCTTTCTAGAACAAAATGAACTCAGTGACAAGAATAAATGTGGATCAGCCTTCCTTTTCAAAGGCAAAGCAAAGCAGTGCAAGCTCCTTTCAACTCAGCTCAAAACTCCAAAAACCATTTCCTCATTCCAACTGCACCTATCATATTACTTTTATAAGACCTCCTTTTTAAAATCCCTGTTTAGAAGTGCTTAGTAGTGCTAATCAGACACCCAAAGCTACTAAAAAGGAAAACACAATGTTTTTATAAACTATCAGTTATTAAAGCAACCCTCCTTGACCCAAACAAAAGCTAAAGTCAAAACCAACCTTTCAAGAGACTCAAAGAAGCCCATGCATTCTGGTTGGAATCGGTGCCTTCAGTCTCCAGCTGTGAAGTTGGGAAAACTGAAAGGCTCATTGCTCATCTGAGAAGAAAAAACAATTTGCCCAGTCCACGCCCAAACCGGAGGAATGCATGAAAGGTCAAACATCACTTGAAGGCCTCCAGGAGGTAAGCTTCCTTATTAACCTCAGAGGGAGCTGCCATTTGGAGCTGGCATTCAGAGCTACCTGGATGAGTTTCACAATTCCTTTCCCTAAAAATGCTGCTTTGTTTTTGTTTTGTTTTGTTTTAAGACCTATGCTTAGAACCATAGTTTTGCAATAAGTAGAACTTCATCTGCTGAAGCTCTGTGTAGAGAGTTAAGTGGTTAAGAAGTGAGGATGGCCGAATTCCAAGCACAGTGTAGGCTGTGGTTGGAATTTGGAGAAAAAGGTTTTTAGCATGCATACATATGCACATGCACACATTACGATCTTGGGACCCTTTTTGTAAGTACAAGATATTTTGAAGGGATTAATCATAATAAACAATAGGTATTATGAGAGTCTTCTAAATTTTCCTTACCAGTCCATAATTTTTGATTACTGTCATATAAACAATAAATACAGTTTATTGAAAACTAGATTCTGGACTGTTGCCTTGTGTCTCTTTGGAAGGCAGTGGATTTTACCCATGCATTTACTCATAAGATAGTATCAACTATCAAATAATACTGAGGGAGCAGAGGAGGAGGGCCACTGACTCGGTGTAGCGATTTTCTCCATTATCTTTTACAAACCATCTTGTTACTCTTATTTATTCCCAGAGGATTCAAAAAGTCAGCAATTTCAGACTCCAAAGACATTTGCAACACGAAGAGATTGGACTGTCATTTGTCAGAAATGGTTAGGTGGGGGGTTGGACTAGATGACCCACAAGGTCTCTTCCAACTCTGTTAATCTAATATGTAACTGAAGACTTAGTCAGTCTCAGGAATCCCTTAATTCCTCAATAGTTTTGGATCTAGGAATGCTGCAGATTGTGTTTACATTTTCTGTAACTTATCTTCAGGAACCACACTCTGTCTGAGGTCTGCAAGTGTCTCATAAATAGACCTTCTGCAACAGGAATTTGTCTATTCATTTGGTTATCTCCGCTCTCTTCTCAAATATGTGATTACCTTATCTTCATTATCCTGTTGTGTTTGGCAAAGCTTAGATATCACTATCTCTTACCATCAACATCTTATCAATGTTTTTTTTAAAAAATTATTATTATTCTTGTCAGGCATCCCAGGACTGGTATCGTCTTGCTTTCGAATGCCTTTTGGTCAGAGAGAATGACCATTGCATTATTTAGAGGACATTATCTCTTGAAGATGATGTCTGGCAATAAAGAGCCAGAGTCTCCAATGTCAGTATCCCAGAGGGTTATATATTATAATGACAAGATATATGGAAACAGATTGAAATAGAAATAGCTATTGTAGTGGAATGTGGTGCTGATTCCAAGAAGGGAGGGGCTGCATTCCAGAGGACCAAGACTGATCTTTTGATTGGGAGAAAGAGAATTAAGAGCCTTCTCGTCCCAGAGGTTTTCAGAGTACATCTTTAATGATGCAAGCAACTGCTGTAGTTTTGCAAGATAGTTCAAGAACAATAAAGGAGATTGCTCTGAAGTCACACCACATGTCTTTCTCGGTTATAGGATCCTGCCATTATTTTCATAAATATAAATAGATTCATTAGATATTTCCATAGTAGTCAATATATATTAGATATTTCATTAGATATTTCATTAGATATAGACATTAGATATTTTCATAATAGTCAAAATATACACAAACAAAATATATGCCTTGAAACTAAAGGCAATGTCTATATCAGGCTTGTCCAACCTTTCACCTTCCCTGGGCCACATTAGAAGATGAAAATTTGGTTTGGGCCGCACATAAAATAAAATAACAGTAACAATACCTGATCATCCCAAAAAACCATAGAAAACATTTTTTTCATTAGATATCATAAAAAATAGTCAACCAGGGAGAAAGGAACGCGAGGGGGGGGGGGGAAAGAAAGCTCGCCCGCCTTGCGCCTACCTCTCCTCCTGCAAATGGCCCAGCTGGATGCAGCAGGACTGGAAGGCGAGGACCGGGAGGCTCGGTGCAGCAGCAGCAGCGGCGGGGGCAGAAGCCGCTACAACAGCTCCGGCGGCAGCGGCGGGGGCAGAAGCCACTACAACAGCTCCGGTGGCAGCAGCGGCGGCAACAGCAGGAGGTGGCGAAGCAGGACTCTTGGGCTGCAGCTGCCTCAGCACGAGGAGTGCTCTGACGGCACCCGCCTTTTCTGTTGCTGCTTGGCATGGCGCTCGCCTCACCCCACCTTGCGAGCCTGCCTCTCCTCCTCACTGCCTCGTCCTCTTGCACAAAGGTTGGGGTGGGCACTGGGCCGCATTACGAGCCAACCTGGGCCGCATGCGGCCCGTGGGCCACGGGTTGGACAAGCCTGGTCTATATAATCAAGCTAAAAAGGAAATAAAACGACCAGCACACATCCTCTCCACCAGCCCACACCCAGACAAGCAGGGATTAACACCAAACAATCAAGCAGAGAACATTACCCTAATTAAGGAACTACTAAGGAGAAAACCACACCCCCACCAACATTGGCAGGGCAAGCCACTGTAGAGAAACAGAGTACAAACCCCACATGCATCAGCACTGATAATGTTACCTATCTGGGTAATGAAACATCTACAAGCAAACAACCTTTGAGAGGCCCAAGAACTTCCCAATTCAACTCTGAGCTACACATATTCTTTTCTATTAGGATCTTTATATTGAATCATTTGGCATGGTTAAGCTTGGAAAAGATGTAAGTTACTGTGTGCATTTAAGTAGTCTACATCAAGATTAGCACAGCATGAAACTACAAATGGCAATTGAAAAACAACATGGAAATAGTTGAAAATTATCAGAGAGATAACTGGTTAATATATGAAGGACATAAAAACAATACGAGCATAGGCAAGGATATATACACTATATATGCAAGTGAACAGTCCTGTATCCTACAGCTGGCAAATATCCCTAGCTTATTTTATGGCTTAGAATCTAGGAATATAGGAGGAAGAATTGTTTTAAAGTTTTTGGGGAAGTTAAGATGCAATCTAATGTATACAGTTTAGCCCTTAAACCCTACAATCTTCCCAATTGGGATAATTATATATTGCCTCTTAATCCCTCCATTTCAAAAAAAACAAACAAAAAGAAGGACGTGGAGCTTGCAAACTCCGATGATCATTTCTGACATCATTTCTCACATTCTAAGCAGCCTCTGGCTGTAAGAAAATGATGTGCCTTTATGCCAACTCTACAAGGATCTTTAGAATATTATTTGTTTTCAATAATGAGCTAGCCTTCATTCTCTATTATTTGGTTTGTTAATATATCCTATATTAAGTATAAATCTATTTACTATTTACCTTAAGCAATACTCATTTATGGATTGGGAGCAATGGTGAATTAAAAGGATCCATTTCCACTTCAAAGTAGTAGGACAAATTTTATTTTGAGGCAATGGTTGAGGAAACTGTTCCAAAACAACTGAGGGACGGAACATCTGGCTAACCTATTGCAGATGACTCAAATTCTAGTAGTATATCCATATCTGCCTTCTGTAGCATCATTTAACCAGACAAGTACCACTCAATGTGGAGTTCCACTCAGTGGTAACCACTGTATCTACCCTTAGTGGGCAATCTACTCGCTACTTGTAACCTCCAATCCTTCTTCCTCAACTCCTGGAAATAATCCCTTCAATCTCCACAGGTTCTACTTTTTAAGCAAAAGAGTACTCTGAAGTTGTCCTGGAACTTATGTTTCAGAAAATAGAAACGATCAAATAGACCAATAAGGCAATGAAAGTCTGAGATCAACTGAATTTGACCCTTGCTAACAATATGAAGTGGTTTGCCACCGTTCTCTTATGGGAATTTGTTTTTCAGCTTCTCACTTTAAATGACTCTTTGGGGTTTCTTGCTAATTTCTGAACAAATCTGAACACAGATCACATCAGTCAAGTCTGGTTAAGTGCAGCTAATGACTCTGACAAACAAATGCTTCAGGCCATACCGGATTGGCTTGTTTCAAAGATCTTTTCTGTCTCTTTCCATTCTTCCAAATCTTGCTGAGTAACAAATATGCAGGAATAAAGTGAATTAATCCTTACTTTTTGTTCCTCCCTGACTGGTTTTAAAGACTCATGAGATAGACCTTTCCATTGTAATAGAAGCAAAGAAACTGCCTTATTTTGGAGGAGACTTTGTGTCTTATAGACAGGCTTAATGCTAGAGATTTACTTCTCTACATTTTACTGCTTAGTCTGATATATATCTCAACCCTCTTTAATCTTCATTAACATTGCCTGCTGGTTTTAAGAATTAAATCTCAGTGCTGATGCAGAAGAATGAGTAACCCTTGGGTTTGTTAATGTCACTGTTCATAGTCAAGTAAACTTTATACGTAGCTCAAGAAAAGTGAGTTGGTTCTGCAAGACTTAGAGAATAAGTATGTGTAAAATAGTACGTATAAAATACTATTTTGCTATTTTCAATGGTATTCATGCCCATTGAAGTTTTGTAAAATTGGAAGGATATAGTAAAAATTCAGAATTCCAAACTGTCATTTGTATTATTGGCCTTTTAAAATAAAATTCAAAATTAGAAAATGTAATAATTGATACCACTGACAAATGGCTCTTTCAACTAGAACATATTAATGCTTTAGCTGATCATTGTCCCTGAAAATAGCTCAACAGGGAGCCTGGAGATTACAGGCATTAGCTATAAACCATCATGAAAAAATAATGACATCTATTCTGTGGCGTCACAATGCAAACTCCAGATATTCATTTATTGCATTCAGAAACTGACATCACTGGGTTTTCATTGTAACACTATAATGCATATTTTGTCATTTGTCCCCTCCTTTTCTTACAGGTGCACATTGCTGGCATTTGTGTGAAGCATACACATATCACATAAGATAAGCCTGCTCTGAGTTAAGTAATTGTTTATTTGGGAAATTGAATCTGGGATCCTCTTTCCAAATAGATGATTAATGCTTTCAAAACTAGCCATGCCTATCATTCTTTAGACTATAATCCTTGAACCCAAGCAAAGGCATGGGA